GTCAATTGAATAGGTGAATAACTGTTCCAGATTCTACATTTTACTCAGAAATACAAATAGTAAGCATTATTTCTATTCCTCTAATGTATGTATTTGAGCACGTACATATAATTTGATAGGCACAAATGAAGATAACATGATATATCTCTTACCATTCAGAACATATAGTTAATCAATTATGAATCTATTATTCACTTTTGTGTCATAAGTATTCAAGTTAAGTAACCATTTAAAACACTGTATGTGATGAACTGTTTGTGTAATCTATTTTTATAACGACGTGAATTATGAGTCTAAAGTATAAAAGTATATGCTTCCACTTATCTGAGCTTCTAGTGTTCTGATAGGACGCTTGTAAGCATGGGTATTTGTACAGCTTATTGACTTCTTTTTAGTGATGAAAACTAATGGATAACATGTTTGCCTTGTAATCAAGGTAAGTTTCTGAAGAAATAAAAAATATTTCAATACTTTCAAGGAGTGTTTACGTCGTACATAATTCATCAAGTTTGTTGACTTTATCAGGTTAATTAAACTGATGTTAAATCAATCATTCCTATACGATTAAAACGACAGTAAATCAACTAAATTTATCTTCCAGCATAACTTCGGCGAAAATATTTGCGTGAAGAATAATATTCAGCCAACCTTTAACGATTACGAACACCTCGATCGATTTTTAGGAGAAATTTCTATTCACTATTAAGGATATAAGTTAATAATCAAATATGGTAATGAATTAAATTAAGCCGAATAAGTTTGTTATAATTTCTAACTTTATGAAGTTAATTTCCATTATTAAATTGAAATCACATGAAGAGCTGCTAAAACTAATGAATTACTTGATCGGTGCTTGTTTTATTTTGAGACATCACTAATTTTGATCCAAGTACTACAGCCCCAGCCTCATTTACTTTTCTCTTACTATTTGTATTTTTAATGGTCGGTTGCTTGAGTGATAGAATAATGGATTTCAATCGACTGTAACTTAATTCTTAGTTTAATTATTCTACAAACTATTTGATATTCGAACAGATGTAGCCTGCGGTAAAGAATTTATTTATAAACATTTTGTTTAGGTATAATGGAATGTAAAATAAATTAATGGAGGGAAGTAATGGCTAACAACACAACAGGTAAACAAACCACCTCGGTTGGCTACTGTATAAACGTGGTGGAGATCTTAATTATTGGTGTGTAGGACTAGTGGTAGAGCAGTAGGAATGTCGAAACATATCATTTGAGCTAAGAATGTGATTGGCGGTAGTCAACAGGAAACCCTTGACCCTGGTGACACGGGATGGAATCGACTGGGGAGCATCAGTTCCCTCAAGACTACAGGTATACATTGTTGACGAGTACCAAGTAGTACGAAACCTAGATCCAGGGTTTCCTGTTGGCTATTTCCAATCATTATTTTATCTTAACATAGTGCACTCGATGCCGATTCCCCTAGATTGGTGGCCACATTCCAACTTGGTTGATAGGAATCGATCTGCACTAAGAAGGACTTGACATACATGGCATTGATCACGATCCAGTGAACAATTGTAAATATTATTTGAGCTATAACTGCGAAAAGTCATTTAACAAAAATAACAAGATTTCTAACCAATCTAACAATGACTGAATGTCTCATGGTGATTGGTTTGACAATGGAACGAACTACCAATGGAATTATTCATACCATGAAGGTAACATGAATTCAAATCTGAAGTAGAGAAACTTCTGTTCCACTAGTCAATGGACTAAAATGTTAAATAACCATTTTAATTTTTAAAGTATTATGTATGTATGATATAATGATTAAAGGAGTTTTCTAAAGTAGAGAGGTAATTTGATATTTCGTTTACACATATTATAATCAATTGTAGGTGTGTGTTCCATTGTTATAGTTGAATGACATCTGTCATCAGTTGTAATTTAAAAACTAATTTTAGTTATATTATGTAATTTTACATCATTACCTTAGCCTAATAAATTAGAGCTCTGATAATACAAATGTTATGATGGCTTAGTTGGCTTGGTAAAACAATGATTAATAAAGGAGTAAAACCGATTAAGTTTGAATCGTTTATCGGTTAACAAATGTATAGTCAAGGATGAAAATACAAATCACAAAACGTCCTGATTGTAACAGTTTATTTGAAGTTATGAGATTGGAAGTGATATAACGAGGTAAACACTGAGAATTGTCAAACTTTCAGAACTGTTCTGTCTTAAATCATTGTTTATATTTTTATTGTATTATTAGAAAATACTTCGGTTATTGTATCGTTGTATTCCCTTAGCTGCAAGTGTAAAATGTGATCGATAAACGAACGCACCAATGATAAGGTGAAACGCCCACCACCACGTTAACTTTCTTTGACCACCAATCACAATTTTATGTTCATTATAAAACAATATTCGCTTTGCTGACTCATTTTTCCTATTCTCTGATTACTGTTCTGTATGTGAATTATGTCTCTGTTTTCCCTACGTTAATAGACTGTACTGTTTATTTTGTATACTAACGGTGTGTAATTTATGTTTTAGAAACATCAAGTTTATCAGGCTAAATAGCTTGTTCTGACTTTGGCTAAAGCAGGACTCTGTATTCGACAGTTTAGAGAATAGCTTAGTTAAACCTGTAGGAAATTGTTTCCTACAGCAAGTTTTCGTTTGATGCATAAATTGTTGTTATGGATTGTACTTTTCTTAAGCTACTTTTAATTTGTTACGGACCTAATTTTCTACGGACACAATACTAAACTGTCGAAATTAGAGTCTTACCTTAGCCAAAGTCAGAACAAGCAAGCTATCTGTCTCCATAAGCATTATCCTCTTTTAAAACGTAAGTTAACACCGTTAGTATATAAAAAGACATTCAATAAGGTTTATTAAACCGGGGAAATCACAGATCAATTAAGCATCTATTTTTTTGTTGAGTCAGTAGACAGTCTAAAAATATTTCACAGACTAGATTTCAAGTTTGTTACTCATCAGTGAAACGTATCCGAACCCCTTGACAAATGCCTACGTTACTATTTGTAACTAAATATTTTAAAATTACATAAAAGTCAGTGTTTAAGTTACTGTCTAGATAAATGAATGTTAGTAATAAGGGAATCAGTGGAAACGTAAAACCTTAAAAGTTATTCTCTGGGAGAATCAGGATACATATTTCTAACTACTTAGTTTATGGCTTTTTTGAATTTTTATAAATATAGGCTTTTATTTGAATCATTAGTTGTTGTTATATTGTTGACAGCTTATAAATAGCAGTGAATTAGTCACTAGGATGTCATACAGATATGTAACAATAATGTTATAGTTATTAGACATATTAAGGTTTATTTTTTATGATGCTTACAGTCTTATGTTTTATTATCATAGTCATGTGAGGTTTTGTGTTTGAATATAATATAGAAAAATAGGTAATATCTGACTGTCCGTCCTAGTGTTCTGATTGGCAGATTCGAACAACTGTTCCTTAACAGGTAAGTTTAGGCTTGGGGATAAACATCTCGTTTTCAAGTCATCTGAGTTTAATCAGGAATTGCGGTTGTCTTCATTTATTTAGTCACACACTTGCAGATATTTTGGGATAATTTCTATCATAGAATTAATAGGAGGTATGCCTTTTGCTATATTATGATTTTTCTTCCATCATGACTGTCTGCCATACACTCGGCATATCCGTAGAATGATGGAGTGGTATTTTCATCGTAGAAAACTTTACATCTTTCATGTAAGCCAGCGAAAACACGCCCTTCATCATACGCTACGATTGTGTGAATAATAATTCCCGCTTCAGTTTGGTTGGTTACAACATGCAAGATCAAAATTGTGAACGAGAATGGGGTTTATCCTCAGTCAGTGTAGAATTTAACTGGTTAAATAGAAACAGCACACAATCATATAGATGTAAATTGTGTTAACATCAGAAGATATATATTTTGTATGTAATATAAGCAATTGATCTTTAAACAAACTTTTAGGTAAAAAAAAACTAGTAACCCTACCGTGTAGATAACTGAGCCGACTTACACTTTAACTTCATATTTTAAGTAATGTACTATCAGAATGGTAATTTGTCATACGCTACGATTGTATGAATAATAATTCCCGCTTCAGTTTGGTTGGTTACAACATGCGAGATCAAAATTACGAATGGTAGTGGAGTTTATTTCAATCCGATTATAGTTTACTGATGACGTTTAAAAAGCCGTGATAAATTTTTCAACCAGCCTTACTAGAATGTTACCAAACAAGAACGGATTTTACGTGTTTAATAAATCTAGTACGGTCATTCACAGGTTACTCTGTCTGTTAATTGAAAAAAAAACATGAATTGGTGAGACCAGAGTTTATGTACGACCTTTGAGGGGCGCTAAATTGACTTGGGGAATGTCCACCTACCAAACAAAGCTCAATGAGGGTTAGAAACCAGTATGATGGATTAGAATAATGATTCGCAGTTGACGGTTAAGGTTAGGAATTAAATTTTCGGTTTTCATCAAGAACTGACATCAACTAAATTGACAAAATGCTATATAGCCAAATGGATGAATGGATTTCGCGCCGAAATCCCAGACCTGTTATATATGATTGGTTCCTCCATAAATTATAGTCTCGTTCATAAATTCTTTTACATGGTTGAGATTGTCTATCTTTCAAAGTAGCCAAATATATTTTTAGGCGTCCTTTCATTTTTCCTTATTTAGGCCTTGTCGTTTCGAGTTAGAGCTTTCATCCCGAACTGACATCAAACATAATGCACAATTTGGAAAGAAAATCCTAGAGGCTCTCTATGATTAGTTCGTCCATAAAATAAAATGTATTCGAAAGCAGAACTGCAGCTAGCTGTGGGATCTCACGATAAGTCACTTGAAATGTCAAGTCTTTATTTAAAAAAAATCTATTTTAAAAGTACAATCATATCTGTTGGATGAAAACTATTGATTTGCAGACGTGGCCTTGAAACTATTTTAACCAATCAAAATAACTAATTTATTGAGTGTAGGTGTTATCCAGAAATTATTTGAAATTTGTTAGTCTTAAAATATTCACATATTCACCAATGTAGTAGCTGGCACATTTCATAATTGGGGATTTGATTTTTCGTTGAACTAAAAGAAATTGATTTTATTCAGTTGATTATTGAGTAATAATGATATAAATGAATAAGGCTTAAAAAAAGAATGAAAAGAATCATACATTTTGTTAGATTCCCTATTGTCCTACAAGAAAATAAAATAAACGAGATTTTTTTTGTTACTTCCTATCACCTCAACAAAAAAGTAAGGAGAGTTAATTAATTTAATCATGAAATTTAAATTTACTCTCCTTACATCATGGACACTATTACCAACGTCCATACCAGATACTGATTGTGAAGATAATGAGGCAATATTATTTGCACAATACTTAACTGAATATACAGAGAATAAATATGGTTTAAATGTATTTTGGCCAAGACAACGTGGTGAGGCATTTTTGCATAATTCATTCAATTCATTTGAAGAGAGATTTTTAACACATTCTGAATATGCATTACTCATTGTATCTGGTCAAAATGCATCATGTTTAAATTGTATTTATCCAAGATTTCTTGTATTTTTTACAGCTAAAAAATCATGGACTGAAAGAATTTTAATAATTTTTTTAAAACAACCAACATATTTATTAAATTTCGATTTAAGTTTATTAAAACATCCACCAATTTTATTCAATGATGATTCAACTAATCAATGGATTCATGATCAAGAATCATGGATGAAAATAGCAGAACTAATAAAACGTAAGTAAATTTCAATGATTATGATAATCGTTTTAATTCAGCACTATACAGTTGATTACATAGAGAGATTTTCAGTAAAATATGTACAATATTTAAACAAATCCACGTTATATATTCAATGAATGTATGAATACATATGAAAATATTTTTTTCAGCTGAGATTCATCCCCTACCCAAATGTTTTCAAGTAGTTTTGATCTTATAAAATCTTTTTACATTGATTAATAAATTTTGATTCTAGGATTCTATTATAATCATTGTTGCAAAGGATACCTAAATCATGGGGGGTAGAATCATTTATATTTTATATATTTAATTTTACTGTAGGTTATAAGGTTTTTATAGAAGTGTGTGAATATAGAAAGTTAACATAAATAATTAATTAGTCTAAAAAGATTCAATTACAGTATTTGCATAGTTTTAAAGTAGGTGACCCATAAGTTCAAATAATTCTTCAATAATCATGTGTTTTTAATTAGACTTCTATTTATGTACTCAGATAAATGAATATTACGTGAGAAATATAATTCATTTTAGTATCTAACAATTTAACTTTGAATTGCAATTGATTTCTATCTACCATTAAGGCTTTGGTTAAGTTTATCAGCTAATTCACTTGACGTTCCTTTGTAGTTTTTGTTGAAATTGATATTAAACATGAAATCTGATATCGTGGTACCGACTGATCTGAATCCAATTTGCATGAACGTATGAATGTACTATGAATATAAATCTTCCATTTAACTCCATGTATTACATAGGCTACCCCGTTTGTATGACGGCGGTAATAAGAAGCCACGTACGGGTGGCGTTTTAGCAATTTATTTCAGGTATTCGTTTATCCAGACACAGAAGCGGAATAAGACGCGGTAAAGAGAAGAGGAGAGAGAGAAGCAAAATGAAATGACGCGCGATGGAGAAGGCGATTGAGCCAACTCGATTTGACCAAGCGTCAGACCAAAACTACCTTACAGACATATGATGAATGAGGTAAGTAATTAACACATATACAATTATATAAAAACAGGGTTAATCAGTAAATACGTGACAAGGTAGAAATGAGGCTTGAGAACAATGAACAAATTGGTTTGTCCAGAGGCTAGAATAACCTATGAGGGCTTGACGTAGTACCAGCCCCTACAATGTATGTCAATTAGCAAGCACCACAATTAAAGATATTACCACTGATTTATTAAAATAGTAATTAAATTTCTATCAAAGTATATTAACTAGAAAACGTCCCTCAGATGTAATGAAAATCCTCTGTCAATTAAATTTCATATGAAGGAATCAATGACAAAAATAAATATGGTCTTCGGTACAAACTTGAAAGATATATTCTGTGAAATTTTCAAGAAAATCTTAGAATAAGTGGTTTGTTGAATACCTTGCAGCTAGTCGCCTAAGCCTAGGATTTTTGCTAGTTGTCACTTGTCAACGAAGCGTACCTGCGATCTCGTATTATTTAACTTTATTTTATTTCTATATTATGATTTACAAAACGGTTCACTACTTTGATATTATTTTTCCTCCCTACGTATCATACCGTTACTCATTTTCTATGACTAACATACTTCAGACATAAGTTGTGTATTCCATATTGCATTGTAAATTAAACAGTAAAACATTTCTAACCATTTGGTTCAATAATTTCTCACTGTAACTAACACTGGTCGTTATAATGTCTGTTTACTTCAATTAAACTATTTTGTCCCACTGTTAATCAGATCATGTCGGTTTTTATAGAGAATCTTTAAGTTTTATTGTCGAGTTAATGAAATTCAAAGAGGTAAAGTCATCAGTATATTCACTTACTTATAACATGAAGCATTATATTACGACAGGAAGACCAAAACAATATATCATATACATTAGAACGATAATTATGTATAGGATATAAAAGAAGGAAGGATTTTATAGTCAAGGAATAATTAAACAAGTATAATATACAATCAATCAGTTAAAAGTGTAAACAAGATAGATTCCTTTCATTTGGAAATTATTTACAGAGTTCAGTGAAGAAAGTTTTTTTCGACGAAATATAGATATGTATTTACCACACAACTATAAATATGAATGTACAGCTCAATATAATGATTTCGTCCAAAAAGAAAATATTCTTTGCTGAATTTCCTTTATTTTTATTCATTGATTTAATGGGTTATTTTAATTTACAGAATCCCCAAGGGATTTTATTTTGAGATTTTTCTGATACTGTTTCATACCACTTGGTCTCATGATCTCAAGAACTGCAACCACACAATCTTGATAAATTAACAGATCTCAGTCTTATACAACCCTTGTATAGTATAGTATAACTTATTGTATTTCATGTTTCAGATATTTAGCAACAATTTGAAACAGATTTATTTCCTTAATTTCATTGTATTTAGATTGTTAGTTTCTCTGTGCGTCACTTTATTTGATATTCCTACAACAGAATATATTCATCGGTTTTACTTGACAGAGAATGATCTACATCTTAGTTAGATCATATTACATAATCTATGTTTATTATTTTCTAAACGTTGACTCCTCAAAAATGGATTATTTTGATTTTATATTCATTAAGTTATATCTAATTTTTTTAACATTTTTAAATTTGAGTTTCGAAATATTTTTCACTTATTTATTTTCTGAATAACAAAACATTTCCTTCCTAACGCACTTGATAATTCAATAAACTAACAACCAATCAAGAAGATTTTCTATTAACTCTTTGTATAAATTCATAAGAAATACAAACCATTAGATGCTAAACCACTGGAGTAAAATCTAGGCCCTCTCCATGAGTTTCAATGTTGTGGGTTTAAACCCCTTATTGAGGAGTTTCATACTAGGATGAAATGGCTGTTCAGTGCTTCCTAGTTTTCAGTAGTTATTTAACCAAAGTTAGTCTATAATGTAAACCACGGCAACTATGGAGTTAATTTTCTTACTACAAATCCTATTAATGACTGTGTACGAGGTAATCTTGAGCGCTGATTACAGGGTTTAGAGCTGTTATCACTCCCGACGGCTATATCGTAGTAAAATACGTACCCTTGAGAGACCTGAAAAGAAGACTGGGTTAGGGGTGATGTTGAATACAGGGGAGCTTGATTACATAAAACTAGATACAACGTGAGTTTGATCACACACTGACTTTTCACGAGTAGTTTCTGGTGTGTAAGTTCTGTATTTCTAAGGTCTTACCGCTGGTGATGAAAATAATTGAGGCAAAATAATTTTTGTTATTTTTAGGGCCGATATTTTCCAAATCCTTGCTTTCGTTCAATGAAGGCAGCATCCTCTCAAGCACCGGTTATCTAAAGGGGAATCCTTATCGACATCATACTTCTGTATAGTAGACAGTATGACTTGGTCCTTAGGCCATGAATTTGTTGTTTTTAGTCTTAACGCTCTCTAAACAACTTTATATGGCAGAACCCGAGATTGTGAATGGTTCAGACAACAGATCTAACAAACATACGAGATGTCCATAAGCCTACTGTTATTCAATACATACAGTCAGTCAGTCAAACGCAACGTAGAACCTAGCAGATATATACGTTGGTTAAGTTGTCATACCACGTTAGCGTAAAGAGATGAAGTTATAATGACAAGTCCCAGAGTATTAAAAATAATAACAGTACATATATAGCTGTACATAAATGAAAATGATTCATTCATTAAATCAGTTATATTTGTCTTAATAGGAGTATATTCAAATTTATCTGAGTTTTTCTTTAATTTAACTAACAAATTTGTTTTTATTATTATATTGTGTAATAACCAATAGCGAATGTGAATTAATAATTCATAATCAGATCAGTACATCAATTGTAGCATGTTGAGAATCAGTGCTCTATTAATAGTAATAATAAATATTTAATCAGTAATATAGAAAGTTAAATGTGGTAGTGGTCTTAATAGTCATGAAAATAGATAACAGAATTTGCTAGACTTTTAAATATTTATATGTGTAAAAATATACTTTATAAATTCATCATATGTATAATTATGCTCAAATATAAAATACTATTTCATAGAAACTTATTCTTTACGGATTTCTCAGTAGTTAGATTGTCAGTTTCTCTGCGTATCACTATATTTGATATTCTTATGACCGAATATATTCGTCGGTTTACTTGACAGAGAGTGGGCTACATCTTAGATCACATTATTTCAGGACTCAGTAGCTAAGTGGATAACGCGATGATATTTGAAGCGAACGGTATTGGGTTGGAGTCCCAGAGTGAACATCAACTCTGAGATACAGGTATATCCAGTTGACGGAGTCGCAAATAAGACGAAATGCGCGTCCCGGATCCCATTGTTAGCCACCATCGATCTTTGCTTATAAAACTTGCAACCTAAGGCAATATTGAGGCAGTCCTCACAGTATGCACATATACCAAAAAGACACTGATCAATTGTAATCCTAAATAACAATGAGAAGATACAAGTTAACAACACCAAGTGAATATTTTCATTGTAAATCAAATTGTTGAATTTCGAGAATTGGATGTGTAATACGTATAAGATTGTAATGCTGAAATTTGTTGAGATATCCTGCTGATAGTTAGGTGATTTTCGGAGAAGTAGGCAATGTTTAGTAACTTGAAAATTTATTAAAATCTTTATTTTATGTCAAACAAATATCGACAATTCCACACAATATAGAATTTTTCAAAACACAAAGTATGTCAGATTAATCTTTTACAATATTTAAATGTAAAAAGATGAATTATTTCAAGTTAAAAATTGAGGAATATGTATTCTCACTAGTGACTGGCTTCAAGAAGTATTTCCTGGAGTTCTAGTGATAAGCAGTGACCAGTGGAGTTCAACTGGGTCTGTTGTGAGAAAGTAACTCACTTAAGATAACGGCGGACGGTGGGACAATTTTGTGGATCGGTTGAAGTTAGACATTAACACAGTGGTCTAGAGGTTAAGCTTTCACGCGCAAGACTGATAGGTCCTGAGTTCGAATCTTGATTCAATCGACTCATGAACAC